AAATTTTTTTTAGAAGTTTTCAAATTTTGACCCGGCCGGGTTATGAAAACCAATTAATTAATTTTGCATGGCCTAATTTGGCCTAAATATATAATTTTGCTTTAATTTTTTAAAATATGTCTGTATAATTAGAATGCTAATATTTATTAAATAATATTTAGAAAGTAAAGTTGAAAAAAAATCTTATCTTAGTTTAATTTGATTGGCTAAATAATATTACCTGGAGGTGAGAAGGTAAGCCTCTATAATAAATGAATATTAGATAATAAATATTATAACCTTTATGTAAAATTATTTATAATATGCAAAATATGCTATTGTATATACTATACTAGTTTTTAACCCAGTGCTTAGCACTGGGCTTTAATATTATTAGACCAATTCTGGTTTAAAAGAACCTGATTCAGGTCTCTCTGAACCAATCCTGGTTCAAAAGAACCCGATTTGGTCTCTTTGAACCAATCCTGGTTCAAAAGAACCTGATTTAGGTCTTTTTGAACCAATCCTGGTTCAAAAGAACCCAATTTAGATCTCTTTGAACTAATCTTGGTTCAAAAGAACCTGATTCGGGTCTCTTTCAACCAATCCTGGTTCAAAAGAACCTAATTCGGATCTCTTTGAACCAATCCTGGCTTAAAAGAACCCATTTCAGGTCTCTTTGAACTAATTCTGCTCAAAAGAACCCAAATCGGGTCACTTAGTTAGAGTTTTAAAACTCCAATCAAGCCTTGAAAATTTGAGAGAACCCAAATTCTAGAGTCAGTTTTTTGCGACACTTAGTCAGAGTTTTAAATCTCAGATCAAGCCCCAAAAATTTGAGGTAATACAAATATAAGTGTCAAAAAAATTTGACACTTGATCAGAGTTTAAATTTTAAATTTAGTCTTTGCGACTATATATTTTCTTGAAGAAGGAAGAAAATATATAGTCATGAAGACTAAATGCTTCATATCTTGTATTCCTCTGAGGTGATTTTAATTCACCAAACATATTTTATATGCATATGATAATTCTCTACGACTTTATTTAGTCATTAAAGAAAGTTTAATCAAACCAAAATCTATGTAATATAAGTGGTTACAAATTTTTGATTATGGAGGTTTGTGCTTTACTAGTCTCTAACCCAGTGTGTAGCACCAGGCTTTAATGTTATTAAATAAAAAATTTAATAAAATAAATATTTTTAATTTAATTTAATAACTTTAATAGTTTTTAA